AAACTCTCACACAGACATTACTTCTGTTATATTTATACTTATTCTTCAGATCAAAGAAGAGAATATACTTTATAATTAAATATAGATATTATAACAAGTCTTTAAAGATATACATCTCTATAAACTAAATTTAAAGATTCAAAGATTTATGCTACATTAATTAATTGGTAAATTAATAAATCAATTTATTAATTTGAAAAATATATAGCATTATAAATCTTTATAAAGATATACACCTCTATAAACTAGATTTAAAGATTTATAATGCTACGTATTTAATAAATTAATAAATCAATATATTTATTAATTTAAAAAATATAAAATTGTTACTACAATTAATTAATTACTGTATGTCTCGTCCGTAACGCACGCATTCTTGTATAATAAAAAAGACAGCAATATTCGCCGAGACTTTAGTGTAAATAACTAACTCATTCTCTAGAAAAAAAATTGATACCATTATCTCCTCTAACGTGTTATTTTGAGAAAAAGCTGTTCCATTGAACGAATAAAACGCAATTAAAATTAACAGTTTCGCGTAAGGTGGTATTTCGTGATTATAGGATGTTCGTCGATGGTTGAAACACATGGAAAAGACTGGTAACGATGTCGAATTACAAGATCGCTTAACTGGCTGCCAGAACGAGTGCAGCATGAGACTCTGTGGTCGTCCGCAAGATTGCACGTTGTTAAGAATCGCAAATACACGGGGACGGTTTCATTCCCATTCATTACGAGTTGTCAATAGCGGTTTGATCTCTACGGTTAAGAGAACTTTTAGTACTAAATCACGTATCTTCGTGTTTAAAAGACGAGACAATCACTTCCGTTTGTTGCATCTCCGTTTTCTCAGTCATACTTTGGTCTTTGTGCTCTCTTTTTCGCATTACACATTAATATCACAAATAAATGGCAAAACAAAATTAATAAGTCCATTCGTTTTTACTTGTCATCGCTCAAGAAAAATGACGTCGCAGTCGTATGCTAATTTCTTATTAACTTTGCTGAATAATGTCAGTCTAATGCAGCACTTATTTTAGATTGCTTTTTGTGTGCTACCAGTGTTGCGTGTGATATCAGAGACTAAATAAAGACTGAAAAATGCGCGCCTGAATCAAAGGTATTGCAACTTCAAAAGATTATGCGCGGACTAATCAGAGTAAATTAGTGAGATGCATTAGTTTCGTGTTCTATAGATAGACCGCAGCCCTCTATCTTTACAATCCCGTCCCAATATGACGGCGCCTTTAAAGATTTTCTAATCTCGTCAAAAATATGAAAAGAGTTTGCCACCTGACTCAACGCGATAAATAAAGTCACCCTCTCATTCGTAACTAATAGAATCAGATATGCGTCATTAAGGAAAACTAAATGTTTCATTTCGGTAATAAATTAGATTCTTTTTTAATTTTTAATTAAATCTTATATCACAAGATATTTAATTTTTTTATTAAAAGAAACATTTTGGAGCACGCGTTTGTTGTTTCTCACAGATTTACTTTGTTCGAATTAAAAGTTTTGATGATAAATCTGATAAAAATCCGTAAATTTGACATTAAATTAAACATGCTCGGTGCGAACGATGTGAACTCCTAAATCAGAATGTTCACAAAAAATTCCTCGAGTATTTTTGTTCGAAAACTTTCTCAAGGAAGTTAGCTACCGATTGTTTGATAAAAATGGTACAAGTTATGCGTCGTGCTATATTACTCGTAATAAAGAAAGGAAAGGGAAGCGAGGGGATCGAAACAGGGGAGATAGAAAGAGAGAGATAATGGGAGAAAAGAAAAAGCGAGAGAAGCGGAGACAGGTGAGAGGATGAAAAAGGCAGTTGACGAACGATGAAGGAAGAGGGAAAGAAATGAAGACAGTGGGAAACGCAGACGAGGAGAGAGAGAGAGAGCACCGTCTAGAGAGTATAGTTGAAAGAGAGGGCATTGCGTCCGGCGCAGTGACCTACTATCTTCGGTTCGACGGCTCGGCTATGTAGACAGCCGATGTGGTTAGAGTATGCGAAGCGTATATACGCGATATACAGGGATACACCGACGCAGAGATATGCGTACACGGCGTAGATGTGGATGCACCGGTCGCGTATTTCCTCCTACTTTATCCCCCGCCGTCGTCTGATGACTGCATTCGGCGTTATTTGCGTGTCACGCTGTCACGCTGCATGTGCGAAAGGAAACACGTAGATTATATCGCGCGCGTATCTTCCTCTAGACACACCTGTTCTGCGTTCATCTTTTCAATAAATATATCAAAATATATCGGAGGCAATTACAAATTGGACGTCCGTATGCACCAGTTTCTCACGAGCGCGAATTGATTCTCTCAACCGTGTTTTCTCTCATCAATTATTAAGCGCGTTGAATCATTGCTAGGCTTGGCATTTTTCCTCTGTTTTCCGTTATGTTGTCGAGAACGATGTTGCATAAATAATACCAGCGAAGTAAAGGAGCTCACGAATGAGCTCTGTAAACTGCGAGATAAGAAAACTAATTTTCTTTGACAGTCAGCCTTTCAAAACTTCAATGTATGTCATAGTACAAAATTTCGGTATCGCCAGCCATTCTTTATTCATTCATTATTTTTGCAAGAGCGCAAACTGCCACGATCGATCAAACTGTCGAAGCTACGTTATTGAAGTTAACGCGCCCTCTGCAACCGATTTTTAATTCAGGAGTATCGCGATGCACCAGGTAAACCTTCATAAAAATGAAAACGAGCAATGACAGAACTCATACACAAATAAAGAATAAATATACCGAGGGAATAAAAAAAATATTTTCGTGAAAATTTGATCGTATAATCTCATCGAAATCATCCCCCTCGTTCAAAAAGAACCTATCATTTTGCTCATTTGCTATACTTTTCAATAAATCCGTACGCAATCGTGTTAACGTGAAAATATAATATGACATAAGTGTATCGCATAATCGCGCTATCGTTAATGAGACCTTTCTACGTACGATTGATTCAATTCCCACGCGGAAGAGTCAATTCCCACGTGGGGATGAGAACAATCATCGTACGATCATCATTGACGCTGACTTGAGCGCGCGTCCCCGCGAGCCATATCCGTGTTTACCGATTATCCGACGCGGTTGCAGGCCGCTTCATTCAGACTTTTGCCTTGTGGAAAGCCACGGCTATATATGTGGCACAGGTAGCGCCCGCGGCAACGAGTGATTCCTCTTAAACATTAACTTAACGTCGTGTTGATTCTCGGCCAACGGCACGTACACACGTCGCATAGCGGTCTCGGGGAGACGTTAAGCATCAATGAAGTATCACTTTTCGTCGAATGGATTTTTTAACCGCATCGGTTTCTTCTTTTAACATTTCGACGATCACCTCTTTCCGAGGGTGTCTCTCCGAATTTCTCCGGATTATCGTGTCCTGATAATTTGCATCTTTTCGCGTGGAACGATGTCTTTCAACACGAAGACAGTGAATCGAAGACTCGAGGATGTTCGTTCGGCAGAGATATTCAGATGATGTTTTCGGTGGAAAAGACAGCGCGTTACGAGCTCGATAAATATTTAACACCGGAGATATATGCGAATCCTCTTACTTTGTGGTATCCTTGCAAATCGATTATCCTCCGCAAGATGAATGCAAAGATTATTCATACCTTTGGCAAATCCATGTATGTTATTCATATTAATAAAACATACCGATTAACATAACGTTATACATCAATTCGAATAGAGACGGACTTAATATTCAGAGAATAAATCTATGAAGAATCTCAAGACAAGATGCATGTTACAATTATATCTTTGGATCGCCCTAATTATAATAATTATTAATAAAACGCTCTAATAATAATAATTTCATTTCTAAACATATACAGTCAAGACAATCTCTTCCCAAAAAAGAAACTCTTGTAGCTTATCTCGAGAGCTTTTCAAAACACTATAATAAAGTATTTTTTCATTGATTACTTTTCGAGTTATGAGGCTTGAAATAATTTTTAATTTTTACATAAACCATAAAATATCTAGTAAAATATTCATTTTTCGATTATTTTACCTTAATACTTTTATGTACGAAATAATGAGAGGAATCAACTGGTGTAAAGAAAACACATAATTGTTTCGAAAAAAAATATGTAATTGTTAATTGCAAATTACACATTTTTTCTTCGAAATAATTGGGTATTTTCTTTACACCAATTGATTCCTCTCATTATTTTGTACATAAAAGTATTAAGATAAGATAATCGAAAAATGAATATTTTACTATTTTATGGTTTACGTAAAATTAGGAGATTATTTCAAGCCTCATAACTTGAAAAGTACTCGATGAAAAAATTTAAACTTTATTATAGTGTTTTGAAAAGCTCTCGAGGTAAGCTACAAGAGTTTTTTTTGGGAAGAGATTGCCCTGACGTCCTGTATATATAATTCGCGAAATGTCACGCGGAGGTATACACTGCATAGATGCGTAAATAACTCGAACCACGACACATAACGGTTAGCGCATTAACGACCTGTCTATCACTTTAAAGGGGGAGAGAGAGAATGTGCACTAACCGCGATAGTAGTATAATTTTCCGTTGTTCGACTGAGAAATTATCGCAGTGAAATTACAATGTCGATCGTCGTTGGCATGCGGATTTGCTGTGAGGCGTCATAAACGGATGCGTAGTGTCGCGCACGCACCGGGAATGCAGTAATCGACCTCCGGCGGAATTAGAAGATTGGCAATGCGTTTGGCATGGATGATTTATTTGGCTCATTTGACGCGCGATTAATGTCAGCATTAGAATCTATTAGACTGTATATCCGCATCCATTCATATCACACGTAGAAAAGAGAATGAAGTTAATTGTCATGTAAAATTGATTGAAAAACCTGCATATTTTATATCAAAACAATAATTGCAAATAAGTTGAATATGAATCCGACTTATTTGTAATTATTATTAATACGTAAGAATGCGTTGATGCGTTTTATGGTGAACTGTTTGAGAAATTAATGCGCTTTACTCACGGCCAATAATAAGGGCAGCAGTAGGATAAAAGCTATCTTTCGTATATTCCGCCACGTCCTCTCCATCATGTGGGTGTCCTCTCTGTAATAAAAAGAAAAATTTGGAAACTTTAGCTAAACAAGTTCACATTATATATCTATCGACGAAAACAATAAATTTTCAAGATTGTATTAATCATGAATTTACAGTAATACAATGTTTTTGTTTAAATGACTCGATATACGTAGAATTAAATAGTTAAATACAACCTTAATAATTTTATTTAATAAATAAAATATTAAATTCATAATGTAATATTTGCTTTAAGTGTGTATAATTAAAGGAAATTATATTGAATTGAAACAAGAAACACAGATGAGATTCAAAGTATGCAGGAAGAACGACGCAGGCAAAGGATAACCGTCGATCGTCGCTACTTGGACACGCAAGAGTGACACATTTACTTGTCAACGGCTGCACGCAGAACGTTACGCAATAAACATTTAACCCACATCTCGGAACACGGAACTTATGATCAGAAACGTCCCCGAAATCTATTTAAAAATCTCTTGAAAATAAATGCACACCTGTGTGTGACACTGCATAAAAATACCGCACCGTTCTATTGTTTAAAACTTTTCTAAAGAGGTAAAAAAAAATTTATTGCACATCATCCATCATGAGATGCATGTGCGTGTTGCAAGATTTACGATACAAACACACTCCTTAATAATAAAAAATAATTTAACGTTCATCATGCTTGTCTATTCAATCAACAAAATTAAAAAATCCGTAAAATCGTAGGTCGACGTCCACGATTCAATATGTCAAATACATTTTCTGTGAGCAAACGAAAGCACGCACGACTATGAATTTTCTTCAAAGTACGAAGAACGCGTCCGGAACAAGAGTCTTGTGAAAGAAGAACAATAGATCGATGCACCTCGTTGCGTATCCTTCCGGTTTCTCGGAGCCCCGTTCTATGGAAGAAACGCGCGATCACTTGGACAATCCCCCCGTTAAAACCACCTGCTCTTCCCCTTTAACGAACCCACGAATGCACCGACCGCAACGGGAAGGCTCCGACAACTCGCGTCAGTTGGTCCTCATTAGGCTATGCGCTTTTTCTCCTTTTCAATTCTCAAATCTCTTTTTTTTTTTCTTTTAATTTTTACCGTCGTGCTCTCGTGTCCGATAGCGAGGATTCGACGGGCCCAGAGGTGGTTTTCCTGGTCGACGGGGACCGACTGAAGGTGCGAGCCACACTCGTCTCGGCCACGAGCCACGTCCCAGTGACCTACTGAAGATCTCGATCGCGCTCGTCCATCGCCCCCTCTCGCCCTCCACCTTACGCGACGTCAGGTCCCAAACAGGCCCACCATGTCGACGGCGAGATATCCCTACCACGCGTTCAACTCTCCTGCTCTTTTTTCTCTCTCTTCGAAGAGTAGTAGGGGTCTTACAGCACAGGTGAAAGACACGCGCTGGACGAGATATCCGTCACACGTCGCGCGCGCGAATGAATTTTCATTGAAAAAAGATTTTCAATGGAAAGGTTAAAATTAGAGATGCCGTAATGAGAAAGTGACGTAAGTGATATTCTGCAGTATACAATGTTTCCATTCTTGCGATAATAATTCAGCGGCGATGCGTACATAGAGCATGATCGAAATACGCAAGCAACGAGACGAAAACTGCACAACGAAACATTTTGAAGCACCTGCGTCACGAGGAGATTGCAAATTTATTCGAGGCAAACAATAGCCGGAGCGACGGAATCGTCGTTTTTTCACGTCACTATATAAGTCGAAAATTTTTTTATCACGTCGATCAATTTCCCGATAGCGAACGAGACAATGGAATGCGACCCATCCGTCATACGGTTGTCGAAGAGAGAACAAATCTTCGGAGCGACGGAGAGAGAAAGAGACAAGGATATGGATGCCCGACTCGTGACTCGAATAACACGGGTTCGCGATGCGATGGAAACCAGAAGCGACACTGGCAAGCCGAACTGGCTCCAATTTCAAAAAATCGCACGAAGGACGTCGCAGAAGTCGTTGAAACGAGGACGTTTCTCCGCTTGAGAATTGAGTCACGACATACGGACTCGGCTGATCTCTCCTAAGTCCAATTTCGCGAATCGTCGTTTCACACAGCATCATATAACCCAGCGTTGAGAGTAAAGAGTTGCGCGAGCGATGCACCAGGTTTCACGATACTCGCATAGAATACGGAAACACTCGAGCCGAGTTTATCATGATTCTTGTGAAATAGATTGTATACTTTATAACGTGCCTCGATCGAGTTATCTCGATTTGTGCATACTACACATTTAATCTCGTCTTGATTCGAGATATAAAAATTGGAGTCATTTCATGATTGAACAAAGTAGAAACCTGATAAAAATGACCAATCATCGAATATGTGCTCGCCTTATAATTCGCACTTTCATTTTCACTTCTCGAAATTCTTGCGGTTTGCATATGGCTGTATTTGCGTAATGCCACGACCGATAAGAACGGGACTCGAAAGCTAATCGACAGCAGCGAGCTGACCTGGATTTCCCACCCGCATGGCGCTAACTCGTCCATCCGGAAATGGCTTATGGTAGCCGACCCACGTCGAGGGATAACGACGAACGGTAGATAATATGCGAAAGTGCGAGTGAACGTTCTCTTTCGCCATTTTTTTCGACGTTTGCATCACTCGAGTGCGACACAAGTCCAGCCACCAAACAAGTTTCCACCAAACAGATCTTTTCGTATAAAATTAGATTTCGTATTTTAATTCTTAAATATTGAGAAATTTTAAAAAAATATTGAGCAAATTATAATTTGCTAGATACTACGACTGGAAAAAGATATTCCTTTTAATTAATAATGCGACAGACATTGCATTGCCAAGGAAACTAACGTTATTAGATTGCGAATTCACTTCAAGTTGCTTCGAAGGATAAAATTATTAGCACAATGCATCAACGTGTGTTCATTAAAATTATCACAAATGTATACTCTAATAGCTTATATTTTTTTATTTTGGACGATTGTGTGTAACATATTTTATATGTAAATAACCTATTCAAGAGTCGGTATCTAAACATTTCTTCTCCCCAGTAAGAGTTATTCTCTGTCTTCCTGCATTTTTTATCTAGAGACGAGTTACCTTCATTCATCGAATTTTCTCACGTCGATTATTCTTCCCAGCTTTTTTTAGCCATCGATTGGCCTTTTAGCTCCGCCAGAGCATACCTTATACGCTCGTCGATTGACGAGTATCCTAAATAACTATATCGAATATACACTGTATTAAAAGCTCCGTCGAAAGTATTGAAACTGCCACAAAACATTCGAGAGAAAGAAAAAAAAGAGGAAATCCATAGACGAGTTTCATCATGAACCGTCGCTTTGCTTCTTCAACCATTTAGTCTAGACGAGTCGCGTTATCGTAAGCTCGTGCAAGTTTAGTCAATATTCAATTAAATCTCTACTGTTTATTTCTGAGCAATAGTTACACCGTCGATGTCTTATGTCGTACATGATTCGGAAACTAAATTTGATCAACCAATTATATTCTTCTACTTGAATTTTCTCGACTGAAAACTCCAATCAACACAGGAAACGCACACATTGGAGAATATTTTAAAATTGATCAGACATTTTTAATTCGAATACTTATGTAATTAAGTCGAATATTTATGTAATTACAGTGTAAAACATATTTTTATAGTCTTACGTTATTAATCTAACGATAATTATTTGATATACAAATATATCATAGATCTTATATATATAATTTATTCTCACAATTAAAAATTATTTACAAAAAATAATATTTATATAAATGTAGATTTTATTATATATTTAAAAAAAAACCTGTATGTAAAAATATTATAAAATCCAAAAAATATTATAAAATCCCATTCTCTAATAATAACAGAAGAAAGTAGAATATATGGTTATTATGGACATCGTATACAAAGAATGTGAGCGAACGAAAACAGACTCGCTCATGTCCCAAAAAAGGGGGACTTGTACCTTGTACCATCGATAGAAAGGAAAGCTTTATTAGGAGAAAGCGACCTCAAAAATTAATCACTAGCATACCCTATCAAAAACCATGAATCCAAGGCAATGCAGCCTATTCCGAACAAGCCAAATTATCCAAGACTCTCGTTCCGAAGACCCAAATCTCCCGATGACGAAGACCTTTCATGGAAAAAAGGAGAAGATTGTCTACTTCTAAGTGCGCTATAAAATTCGGTTTTTTATATGTACTATAGTATTTACATATGTATACATCACAGGCACTTGAGAAACCAGCATACGAAGGACAGTCATATAGTTTGATATTTGAGAAAAAAAGAGAGAAAAAGAGAGAGAGAGAGAGAGAGAGAGAGAGAGAGAGAGAGAGAGGAAGAGTGATACTTGTATATGGAATTTAAGCATACGTGTAAGAATCCTGTTTTCGAATAAAGGCGGTAGCTTGTCAACATAAAATTTAGATATTATTGTTTTCAATTTTAAGAAACAATTTGCGATAAATTTGCAATCTAATTGTAAATGATTGCACATAGCGCAAAATATATTATAATTTGTCAAAAATATTTTAATTCTAATCACAGTTATTTAAAATAATTGCGCATATATTGTATATCGTAAATCTAATTATTTATGACAAGTTTTCATCACAATTGTAAAGTACGGACATGAAAAAGTGGTAGAAAGAAAAAAGCAAATTACACAAAAGAAATGAAATTTTAAGTTAAAAATAAACACTGAATTCTAATACACGTGAAAACGACAAGAGAATGATAAGATGAAACATGTTCCCGTTTCTTATCACGATACATAATTATTATTGACTTCCTTCTACTAATCAGAAAATAGATTATATAACCATGCCAAGTTGCGTAAAGAAAAGGTCTTCCACAAACATATTTCGTGTTTTGCATAATTTTTTGAAAGCTGTTGTAAGGAAAATATATAAAATGAAATTTGTATAAATTCCTTTTTATTTTCCGAATTTTATCTCCCTCTTTCGCCCCTTCTCCCTTTCTCATTCTTTCTCTCTCATGCATATAATTATAAATTATCTGTATAATTTTAATTATTGTTTGCTTTTTTCCTCATGTTATTAGTTTTGCGTAATCAATATCTATCGATTCTAGTTTAATATTGATTTTATATTTTTTAATCAAAATCGCTGACGTATTAATTAATGTTATTAAAATTTTTTCAAAACCTTAAAAAAATGAATACTTCATTTGATTAGAATACAATTCAAAAAGATAAGATGCTTGTCATATATTACGGTGGAAAAAACTTTTCTTACAACGTCCAAGTTTCACGTTAAGGAAATCAGATATCTAGCGACAGTAGCAATCCCTTCTTCCGTATATTATTATTTTACCAGGTCGTATGGTGCAACCCTTTGTTCACGACGCGTGCGTGACAGGTGTGTACTAGTGACGTAATATCGGTACCGTTATACGCGGGACACACACGCCAGGTGAAACCCTATAAGAATGTGACGTGACACGGAACACCGTGCACCAAATTCTGCACTCTCGTGAAAGTGACTCGAATGGGAAGAAAGATTCCGCGCGAAATAAATCATGCCGGTGTAAACGCGAGATATTTATAGACTTTATTAGATTTGTTTATGAACTAAAATTTGCATTATTCTTTAACGGAATTTTAAAAGAAAATAAGAATATGTTGATATGTACAATGTATAATAATGAGAATATTTTTCTATTATTTTTCACAAAATTATCTATTAATCTATTAATATTCATATAATAGTTAAAATTGTTTAATATACTTGCTATTGTCAATCTTAAACCAATAAATTAATAATAATTTGTATAAACTTATTTAAGAAAAAATAATGTCCATTGTATTTTCTTACTTGTCTTCATAAACGTATAAAAAAAGTATTATATTATACGTAAAAAATAATAATTAAAATTACATTTTCTCAAAATTTAAAAAAGGTCTGCATTATTTATAATTAATAATAATTAACGATTATAAATTAACGACTATCTACAAATTATATTTTCAGCAATTACTTTTAAAAGTTTTAATTACTTTAACCATCAAAATAATTTCTTTTTTAATTTAATTGGTATTCTAATGTTGTAAATCAATTTCCTTGTTTCAATCTAAGACCTCAACACGTATCGATTCTTTGAAGTCTTTCAAAACTTGTAAAAATCCTTGCATCACTTCTTAAGGATCATAAAATTGCCTGTTAGACAACGAGTAGTTTCTAGATCCGTTCTGCCGAGCGCGTAAAATTGCATTCGGCCTTTCTAACATCGTAGGAACCATCACGTGGCGTTGAATTTCAACGACTAACGAGCTCCATCACGATCACATAATCGCATCCAGAAAAGCGGAAAATCATACCGCGACAAAAGGAACTTATGGAAATCTAGTAGAAAGCATAACGGACTGTTCTACGCGGCTAAGGGGGCAATCAGAGGATAAAGTTCGCCTCTCTCTCTCGTGCAACCATCTCTCAAACTACCTGTACCCTTCTCTTTCTCTTAGCTTTAATCAATTTTTTTAGTATTAATTATGAGAACTTTATTTCCCGATCAAAATTTCTAGCTAATTGCATCGTTATTCAGATTAGTCCAACGTGTATCGATTTCATTAGAGTGCGGTCAATCGGATATTCGATATGACATTTCCATCACAAGTTAGACGCGATCTCAACCTCTCTTTTATAAATTGCCGCGTCGCATAACAGATGGTCTCCTTCCACCTACCTACCTACCTACGCGCGGCCTTATTTCTGACATAGAGCCGGAGAAGGAAGGACGCGCCTCTCCGCGCGAGGAGAGATGCCAGTACGCTGACATACTGACTCGCTACCCCACATACCCTTTTGCCTTTTCAACGTATGCTCGCGCCGGACCACGAGTGGGGAGACGAGATGAGAAGAGAGAAACAGGAGGAAGACCGAAGAGGAAGACCGTTTGCTGTCTTCTTTGCTCTTCTTCATCGATGACGAAAAGTAACGATGTTTGACGAATCGACACACAGTTGGATGCGAAAATTTTCGGCAAAATCTTTTTACCGAAAGACAGTCAAAAACTATCAAAAAAAAGATATTTTTGACGACAAAATTAAATAGCTGACGTATGTGAATGAATTTTAAGACATTTTATGAAAGAAAATTTAATTTGTGATGAAAAGTTCCAACAGGGAAAAAGAGAAAGAGAGCATCGATTAATTTGATGAGCACTATTCATCTATTATCAATATATATTATTAGTATATAATCTTCTTCTCCTCCATCTTAAATAAAAAGAAATTTCGAGCAATTAATCTCTGATGAGTACAACATATATAACTGTTCGATGAACACCACTTACATCTGCTGTCGTGTACTTGTCATTCACCTCTTTCGAAAATAGGAGCGCAAAAAATAGTCATCGCGTATCAAATGAAACTTATGAATCGCACCACAATCTACGAAATATACCATATCACTGATCACATATCGATTAACACGTATCGAATAGTCACAAACCTCTTTTCCTCCGTGATTCAGCAGATTCGGCAAACAGGACTCGTTATAATCCTATTGGCACACACACTTGGCACTTGTGACTTCTTTCTGCTGCGTGTCCTCCCCCTTATCGCGTATCGTCCACGTCGGGACCGACCGAAAAGCTCGAGAGAAAGTTTCGTTTTTTTTTGCTATTTTTTTTTCACGAGCGAAACGC